GCACCTGCTAATTGGCGCACAACATAAGGTGCAAGTGTGCACTGACCACAAGAACCTAGAGTATTGGAGGACGGCACGAGTGCTCAACCAACGGCAAGTGAGATGGGCCCAGGAGTTCTCCAAATTTAACTTTGAGATTAGTTACGTGCCAGGCCCAGAGAACATTAGGGCGGACCCTCTCTCACGCAAACCTGAATATTTGGAGTTGTAGTGGGCACCCGAAGAGAGACATGTCATTCCAGAAGACCGCTGGGTGTGTGGGGCGGCATTGGTGGGACAAAGAGAACTGGTAGAGGAAACAGAGAATGATGAATACGCCCAGAATAAGCTCAGAGGTCTTAGGGGTGATGGAGAGGAACCAGGGGTTTCGAGGAAAGAAATGGAGCTTTGTATTACAAAGGGGCACTGTATATCCCTGAAGGAGAGTTAAGGGGGAGGGTACTCAAGCAGTTGCACGACAGCCCTACGGCGGGGCATTTTGGACAACACAAAACCATGTGGTTGGTCACCAGGGAATTTTGGTGGCCTAAGGTGAGGGAAGATGTACGTGAGTATGTAAGAGGGTGTGAGCAATGCCAGCGAGCCAAAGGGGAAAGGCGGGCGCCGGCGGGGCTATTAGAACCCTTACCAACCCCAGAACGACCTTGGGAGGCAGTGTCGATAGATTTTATGACTGATCTGCCGAAGTCCAAAGGGAAAACAGCCATCATGGTGGTGGTAGACCTACTAACAAAGATGTGCCACTTTGTAGCTTGCTCGCATGCAGTCACGGCGGAAGAGACAGCGAAGTTATTTGTAGAAAACATTTTTAGGTTGCACGGAGTGCCATTGAGGGTGGTCTCAGACCGAGGAAAACAATTTACTTCCAGGTTCTGGAGGAAGCTCATGAGCTTACTGCAGGTGGAGGTCAATTTTTCGACTGCCCGGCACCCTGAAACCAACGGGCAGGCGGAAAGAGCAAACGGTGTCCTCCAGCAATACCTGAGGTGTTATGTCAATGACAGAGAGAATGACTGGGTAGAAAAGTTGGCGCTGGCGGAATTTGCATACAACAATGCCGAGAATGTGTCCACAGGGATGAGCCCCTTCTTGGCTAATTATGGGTGTCATCCCAGGGCTTTCCCAGGGGGAGGGGGAGAGATGGAGCGTCCCGGCAGCCGAACATTTTGTGGAAGAAATGGAAGCAATCCATCGTCAGCTCCAACTCAACTTAGAAAGGGCGAAGGAAGAATACAAGAGGCAGGCAGACAAGAACCGAAGGGAAGGTGAAACCATAAGGGTGGGAGATAGGGTGTGGCTGTCAACCCAAGGGTTGCCGTTCAAAGGAGGTTGTAAGAAATTAAGACCCAGGAGGTTGGGTCCCTTTGAGGTCATTCAACAGGTCAACCCAGTGGCTTTCAGGCTCCGGTTACCCAACCACATGAAACTGCACCCAGTATTTCACAGGTCGTTACTGTCACCGTACGACTGGGGTCGAGAAGGGGTGGCCACTCGGGGCCCGGTCGGAGAAGAAAGAGAATGCAGCAGCCATGTGGCTGAAATCCTCGACGCCAGGTGGAAGGGGGATCAGGTGGAGTATTTGGTAGCGTGGGAAGGAGAACCGAGTCAGAAAACACTTGGGTAATGGCTGAAGATATCAATGACGAGGTATTGATAGAAACGTTCCATCAAAGGTTCCCAAGGAAACCTCAGCCTGTGGAGAGGTTCCGGAGGGAATACTTTGGGACCACTGATGAAGGGGAGGAGTTGGAAGGATTCCCGGACTCGGAAGGGGAAGGGGAGATGGACTCTGAGGAGGAGGTGTACTTCGAGACCAGGAACCGCAACAGGTTGAGAGAAGTGTTCGAGACATCGGAAGATGAAGGAAGTTCATTCCGGGGTTTTGCCTCCTCACCGCCCGTAGAGGAGGGGCGAGAGGGGGTGAAGGGGGCCCTGGAGGGGAGGTGGATGTCAGGGAACTGCCATCGGACGGAAGGGAGGTGAAAGGGCTCACACAGGTTGGGAGAGACGCAGCAGCTGAAGAGGGAACCAACAGGGAGGTGAAAGGGCTCACACAGGTTGGGAGAGACGCAGCAGCTGAAGAAGGAACCAGCAGGGGAGAGGAGCTGAGCTGGAGGGATGGCTCAGAGACACTTCCAGCGAAAACAGTGGGGAGGTTTCAGAACCTCCTGTAAGAACACCCACTCCTCGCCGGAAACTGTCACGCAGAGATTCCAGAAGACGTGTTTCCGTTAAGGAGCTTTTATGTTGGAAGCGATTACGAAAGCAACCACTGTCGGAATCTGCTAGTGACTAGAGTAGCCATGTCTGAGGGGCTCCGTCACAGACAGAGGTTTGTGGACTTGAACAAACTCTGAGGGGATACGATTTTACGCACAAGCAGCTCATCATCCCATCACACAAGCATATTGATATATCTACCCAAGCTTTCACACTACACATCAAAGAGCTTGTGTCTGGGATTTTCAGGTTGTGTTCCATCCATAAGATGTGGTGTCCAGCCATTATTGGACACAGTTGGGATATTTCTGCAAGAGGGCTTATTTCAGATCAATCTGCAGCAGACCTTTTAGAGTTCATTTCTACAAACTGACTGGCTTAGTCCTGCTTATTAGTAGGACTAATAGATGTGCCTAGGGGCACTGGAGAAGTGAATGCAGGGCTCAGATTCGATACCTTTGTGATATATTCTGGCATTCTGCCAGGTAAACTGAATTTAATAGCCCATGAAAGAGAGGGTATGTAATACAGTTCTACTGAATTAGCTGAGTAAATATATTGGCTACAGGCTACAGGGAAGCACGTCAACATCAATTATGTTGCATTCCTTTAACAGACAGACCAAAAAAAATTGAGAGGGTTTTGTTGTTGCTGTTAATTGTTTCAACTGCTAGCTAGCACACAGCACAAAGGACCCACAGAAGATTAGGAAGGAGCTAGATCTAGCTATTTTTTATTTTTAGAAAAACCTTTAAATGAAGAAGAAACGTTTAACATTGTTTTAAAATATTATAAGTGTTCCTTGAGAATTTAATGGTGTTTTCCATGCTGCTGGAATTTTTAATGCTGTGTTGTATATTTTTGTGCGTGTGTGATTTATCATTGTATCTTAGGCTGCAATCCTAAAGTGGTTGTTTCCACCTTCTCTCTCACCAACAGAGTGGAAGCAAGGGCTGATTATCTTTCTTACACTGAGTTTGGTTAGGCTAGGAGAACGTGATTGGCCAAGTGAGTTGTCAAGGGACAGTGCTGCAGTATTTAATAGTTGCTTGTCTCTTTGTTTTTTATCAGAGAGCATTGGGAATCATAGAATTGTAGAGTTGGAAGGAATGATAAGGAGCATCTAGTCCAAACCTCTGCAATGCAGGAATATGCAGCTGTCCCATACAGGGATCGAACCTTCAACCTTGGCATGATGAGCACCATGCTCTAATGAATTGAGCTATGGAGTCATTGTAATATTTATTTACAAATGTACAAGTAGATCGCTTTGGAGCAGACTCCTGAAGTGCACAGCACGAGTGCTAAACATTAAGGGCTGCAGCAGGTCACCAAAGACAAACTGTATGCAAGTCTATTTCAGTTTAAGCCAACTCTAGCTAATAAACATTCTCTTATTTTTCTCTGGCCGCATGCCAATTCAAAGTACTCAAGCTGTCTGTCCCTCACCAATTCTGTGATAGATGTCACATACCAATGGCAAAGCAGAGAGATTTTCATTCATCAAGGAATACTAATATTCTTTTATTAATTCTCTGAGTGCATCTATTAGTTTGTCTGATAAAACCATAGCAACAGGCTCATTCATGCTAATCAAGATACCCAAAGTCATAACAGGATTTGCTCACACATGCACACAACACTATTAATGAAACATATAGGTAGGCTGTTATAGAATCCAATTAGTCAGATATTACTATCACACCAGCTATTGTCCAAACCATATCTCAAGCACGGGTTGCTAACCCATAGTCCATGGGCTGTACCCATCCCCTCAGTGTTTTAACAGGGTCCTGGATTCCCCAAATGTGGCATTTTAAAAAAGGTTTATTTTAAAAATCACAATATTGTTTTACTGACCACTGCTGCAAGCCTCTGCTGTCATACTGTGATTTTTTGGATTCTCCTCCCCAAAATGTACCCTTTAAACAAACAATTGGTCATGCCCACTTTTACACTTTGAGCACCCTTACTTTGTCATGCATCTCCTGGAGGATTGCCAATGCAGCCCTCAACCCAAAACAGGTCAGCCCCTTCTGCTCATTAGGTCTTTTAAAAAATGGTTTTCCTTCGCAAGAAATGCCTTGGTGCTCAAGGGAGGGGGGAGGGGAAAACTCCTGGTGCATAAACCTAGACGCATGTTGATGTAATCACCACACATTCCTAAACGTAAGGATTTTGTGCTAGTCATACCCTGTTGCCTGTAAGTATTAAAACAGCCCATTTCATGTTTGTAAATTACAACTTCAAAAAATAAATCAAACTCTTTTTGATTACTATTGATTTGTTTACCCAGATTTGTGCAGAGCCATCCTATACTTACACCAGAAGGGAGCTAACAACTTGAAAGCACATCAGCACTGGGAATTTTGCTGCCTGAGGTAGCATCCCACCCCTACTCCCACCCCCCAATTCCTTCTATGAAAGGTAACTGGACTGGCAGCTAATTCTTACGTCAGCACTGGCTTCCTCCATCACATCTGAGGGCAGCAGACTAGTATAAGGGGCACGTGGCAGAATGTGTGGCATACACTCTGCCTGTCCCCAGCATCTACCACCTGAAATGTCTGCCTAATGTTAGGGCTGGCCCTACTTGCCCAGAGTTAGCAAGTTAACAACCACACAGGGATGGGTCTCCACAGAATGAGGTGTGCGGTCTTGTATCTATGGTATAAGCCAGAGCGTAAAATGGAGAGTAACAAGTAGTAGAATCATAGAACTGTAGTTGGGAGGGACCATGAGGGTCATTTGATCCAACCCCCTGCAATGCCTGAATCTTTTGCCCATTATGGGGCTCAAACCCACGACCCTGAGATTAAGAGGCTCATGCTCTACCAACTGAGCAAAGCTAAGGTCCATCCCTGAAGCTAGATGTACAAGAGGTGATCATGAGAAGATATAATTTGATAGGGTGCCCCACCAGTGGTGCAACTGGTATTCTGCCAGCTTAGTGGGTTTCTTGTAAAACATGCGGCCACTCAGCTGGCAGATATTCCATTTGGAATTATCCCTTTATTTTCCTGTGTTGTACTGAACATAACACAAAGTGAAAAATAAAACTTGGTTTGGGAAACAGAAGAAGTCTCCACATTTCATTTTCTAGCTGATTGAGTTTTGCAATGAGCATTAGTCAGAGCCATGGCTCAGTGACAGAGCACATGTTTTGCATGGAGAATATCTCTGGTTCACTCCTCAGCATCTCCAGGTCTGGTAGACTCCCTCACTGAAATGTTGGAGAGTTGCTGCAACTCATTGTAGACAATGCTGAGTGAGAAGGGCAAAACACAGCTTCCCCATCTCCATAATCAGCATTATGGATGCATAGGGCAGGTTATATGCACAGTCAGCCGTGCTCTAATTGTACATAGCTGAAGGGGAAGACTTCCTATATAATGAAATGAAGAGTAATCCTCCTCCTCCTCCTCCTCATCTAAAGAGCTGGCCATTTGCAGTCCTTTAACGATACCCCAAAACATGCTGCCCGAAGCAGCCCACCTCACCCTGCCTGATGTTGCGGTCAGCCAACTTCATTTGTTGTTTCTTAAATTTTTGTTTCTTAATAAGTCGCAGGCTCATTGTTGTTTTCACACACCGAAGGCATGATAATGTTTACACAGGACGAGGTACCTGCTATTTCTATCACTGCATAAATTACGTGGAATGAAGATGTTCCTCTCACACCATTTCAAAGCACATGACAAATAGCTGGAAGAGCCCAGTAGCTGTGAATGAGAACCAGCAGTCCCATCAAAGGTTAGCTTTAGCAGGCACCTGCCAAGGTTTACCACTCCAACAGGCAGGGCCAGACCAGGACATTTTGTTGCCTGAGACAAAAGACAAAATGACAGCACACAGAGACACAGTTGTATTTGAAGCTGACTGACAGCAGATTGGTGTTAAAATATACTTCAACTGGGCTATGAGGCAATGTCCCCCACCTTTCATGAGGGCAGAAGGCTAGCTTAGAGGCTGCCAGGTAAGGCCATATGGCATGAACAGCTTGGTCCTCCAACTTCCTGCCATTGCTCTCCACCTTCTAGCATCTGCCACCTGGGGGGCTGCTAGGGGCACCTTGGAAGATGGCCGACAATACCATCTCTCCGGCTCGCACGAGGTAATTAGAGACTGATTATGGGGAGTATATCAGTCTCCCTCATTTTCCCAGGGGATGGGAAAATGCTGCCTCGCCCGCGGTTTGCCCATAAACCACCCCCAAGTTCGAAAGAAGGAGGGGGTGGGGGCACTGGGCGGAAAGCCCTTGTGCGAGTCCTGGAACTCCCGGACGCTACTTTCAGGAGCGAAACTGGCTGCATTGCTTAAGAAGAAAAAAATTTGGAGAAGTAAACGCACATGCTTCAAGCGAGGTCAGGAGTGTGTTATCTGCTAAATAAATCTACCACTGAAAGGATGAAGCGATGGACGGAATGAACTGAGGACTACATCAAAGAAACACAACTATGCCAGTATGTGAAACGGAACGGAAAGGGGGGGGGACTTTCTCTTTTCAATATGATTTACCTAACAACCTTCCCCCCCCCCCTTAGAAGAACCGCCACAATGATTGACAGCAAGTGAGATGGAAAAATAAACTGTGTGGAAACAGAAAATGCTAATAAAAGGTTTTACTCTGTGGGAGATCTGGAAAGAATGGAGGCTTTCTTGTGCGTAGTTACAAAAGCGATCCGCCATTAAGGGGCAGACCTTGCTGCAAGATTTCCAGTCATAGGGAGGATGAGCCACTGTTTTGTTATCAGGTTGGATCGTAAATTTGAAAGGGTAACAAACCTTCTGGAAAGGCTGATTTATAGTGCATAAGGTCTGCGAAAATTAAGGAGCGGACGCTGAGACTGTATTTCATCAGAATTGACTAAAATGGCGACTGCCGCTTGAACGGACTCTTGGACCTTTGGATTTATGTGAGATGAATTATGGGAAAGCATTTCAAAGTTCACACAGAAATATAAACAAAGCTGTTTCTTTTACCTCGCTTGTGGAGACAACTCAGAGGTTATTAAGAAGAAAAAGCATAATGACAAGGAGATGAGAAGATGGGACTGTGAACATCAAAGCAGCAGAAATACAAGAAGATTGGACTCCTGCCGAACTCGAAGCATGTGTACCCCCCCACACACAAAAAAATTAAAATTCGGCTTAACATTTGGACTTTGTGATTTGAATTGATATAATTGGGAATATGATTGGATGTGATTGGTTTGATAAATGGAATTTTAATAAAAATTATTTTTTTAAAAAATAGCATCTGTCACCTGAGGTGACTGCCTAATGAAAGGGGCAGCCCTGCCTACAGAGATCCCACTTCTGATCCTCAGAGCCTCCTGACCCTGTTGCTTCTCCTCCTCCTTCCTGTTGCTGCCCTGTTTCCTTCTCTACAAGGGGGTGAGCCATAACAAGTGCAAGAAGAAGGAGAACGTAAGAAGAGCCTGCTGGCCAGTGACCCATCTAATCCAGCATTATGGTAGCCAATCAGATGCCAACGGGAAGCCACATGCAGGATCTGACTGCACTTGTGATTCCCAGCAATAGGCATTCAGAAGCATACCATCTCTGACACAGCCATTGTGGCTAGTAGCCATTGGTAGCAGCAGCTTCTCATTGACCTGACTTCTCCCTTCTGGGCTGCAGTGCATATTGTGCACCAAAGGGGAGGCAAGCAAATGGGCAAAGCCCCCAAAATCTGGAAAAACACTGGGCAGGAAACCATGATAAATAAGGTAGCTAGATATTTTTGCCATCTCTTGTCAAAGGAATCTCATTTGCCAGTGCAGAGTACACAAGCAAAATTAAATCAGTGTTTGTTATCAAAAAAGTCCTCATCTTTCACTGAGCAACCATTTCTCTGAGGCTTCCTGTTCCTCTGTTGCTCCGTAAAGCAGGCAACACATATTACAGTGCACACAGCGATGTTTTGAACAGCGTTAATAACTTTTCCTACCTTGTAGTCCCTACACTTACAAGCCGGCTAAGCTTGCCAACTCATTTCTTTCGTAGCTGAATGCACAGAGCAGATATTAGTATGCACAACTGCATCTGGGTGCAGAAGTAAAATGCTTATGCCTTGGTATTAACTCCATTGCTCTAGGAACCACTAACTACCACCACTGAATATTAAACAGATCCTACAGTTAAACACACAGGCTCCATATAAGGCTGCAAAGGGTCAGGGTTTTGTTTTGTTCTGGGGTTGTTGTTTTTTGCCAGCCCGTATTCTGATTTCCTGGTTCATGACCAGCACAGCCACCTTGCTAGCAACATTTGGCATGTGTTGTTTCCGATCTGGAGATGCTTGGCAGGAATCTCCTCTTATCATTCAACAAACAGATCTGTCTGACTTCTTGGAGCACTGTTGTTTTTAATGTTTATTTGGTCTTATTTGTTTTGTTTTTTTAGGGTTCTATTCCAACCTGCCCCAAAGATCTGGGGGCAAGATAATTCCATTTTCTTACTTCAAACAACCCAGTCCTATGAAATGGTATTATTTATTATTTATTTTGTTTATTGCCTCTATATCCCTCCTTTTTCTCCGAGGAGCTCAAGGTGCCAAACATGGTTCTCTCCGCTTCTCATTTAATCCCCACTACAACCCTGTGAGGTAGGTTAGGCTGAGAGGTAAGGAACTGGCCCAAGGTCACCCAGTGAGCTTCTCTGGCTGCATGGGGATTTGAACCCTGGTCTCCCAGATTCTACTCCAATGCTCTAACCACTGTACCACCCTGGCTCTCAGGCAATGAGAGGCATTCTTTAGGTTTAGAGGCACCATCCTTTGGAGTGACAGTTGCTGGGGAGCCACAACAGGAGAGGGCCATTGACTTCCCTTTTGGGCTTCCCAGAGGCTCACAGCTCACAATAGCATTTGCCTGAAGCTCTCAGAATAGCAGCCTAAGATGTGATACCACAGTGCAACCTCATCCAGTAGAAAAGGGGTGTTGATGTTTAGCATACACTTCACACTACAGTCATCATGGGCCCCTGACAACCTTTATAAATGACAAATATATATATATAAATGCAGGGGGGAGGAAATATCCAACAGAACAAATTACAAAAGGGCAAGGCTTTCAGCTAGCACTAGCACACACAAAGATTGCATAAGAAGAACTGTCTTTTCAAACCTGGAAAGGCTTTTTAAAGCTACAGCAGCCCTTTAATAACAAAATAGAATTAGTCAAGTTGGGCAATGCTAGATGGCGCTCCCGCTTGCCAGGCATCCAATCTATAACATTAGCAACCATGGGCTCAAACCAGTTTATCTGAAGCTTCAACTATTCTAATCCTAGGGAATATGATGGTCCAAGAGAAAACAAAATAAACATCAGAATAAATATAAATCCAAGTTTAGCAGTCTGATCTAAGATCCCCTCTTTCCCCTCCCATATTAGTGTGTGTTTCTCTCCTGCACATCCAATCCAACCTCCTCAGAGATTTTATGAAGAAAAATGCCATGACGCCGCACACGAAGGAAGCATTAAGGGCAACTATGTCACCTCATGAAACCAGTTCTAGACACACCTAACCAGCTGAATCAGGAGTAGTCCAGAGTGGCAATGTACATTGAATAAAACCAGTTTCATCTAAAGATCGCCTCTAGTTTAATCAATCTGCATGAAGCAGAATACAGTAGTCCATAAAACATGGACTAGAGGTCTAAATCTTTAGTTCAGCTTACTAGTCACTCCTAGCCTGTCCCTTACATTCCTCATGAAGAAGGAGAAGACAGCAAGCTTTGCAGAGTGGGTGGGTATCAGAGTCAGATTTGAGGAGTTGGCCAGGCTGGAGCAGCCATCACCAGCCTGGTGCCATCCAGATGTTTTGGACTACAACTCCCATCAGA